TGCTTGTATGTATGCAGGTATGATATGATTAAGTTTATTGCTGGAGCTGCTTGTATGCATGCAGGTATGATATGATTAAGTTTATTGCTGGAGCTGCTTGTATGTATGCACGTATGATATGATTAAGTTTATTGCTGTAGCAGCTTGTATGCACGTATGATATAATTAAGTTTATTGCTGGAGCTGCTTGTATGCAGGTATGATATGATTAAGTTTATTTCTTGTATGCAGGTTCACAGGTGATGGCTAACGGAGCCTTGCGCATCAACGCCACCAGCGTGACGGATAGCGGCAGGTACATGTGCGTCGCAGAGAACGAAGCGGGAACAGCGTTCGGGGACGTGCAGCTGCTCGTGCATGGTAAACCAGCTACTGATGGGGGTCAAGGTTAAGGTCAAGGTTAGGGTTAGGGTTTGGGTAAGGGTTTGGGTAAGGGTTACGGTCAAGGTTATGGTTATAGGGTCAGAGTCAGGGTCAGTGAAAAGGTTATAGGGTTGGAGTTAGGATTGTGGTTAGGGTTAGGGTTACGGTTAAGGTTAGGGCCAGTGTCAGGGTCAGGGTTAGGGTAAAGGCCATGCAAAGTCAGGGTCAGGGTAAAAGTTAGGGTTATGGTTAGGGTCAGCGTTAGAGTTAAGGTTAGGGCCAGAGTCAGGGTCAGGGTTAGGGTGAAGGCCAGAGTCAGGGTCAGGGTAAAAGTTAGGGTTGGGGATAGGGTTGGGGTTAGGGTTAGGGTTAGGGTTAGGGTTAGTGTTAGTTTTAGGGTTAGTAATAGGGTTGGAGTTCGAGTTAGTGTTAGGGTTACGGTTAAGGTTAGGGTTAGGAGTAGTTAGGGTAAGGGTTGGTGTAAGGCTCATGGTAGTGTAAGGGATGTGGTTAACATTGGTACTTAACATTGGTTATTATACATTATACATTGGTCATACATTGGTTATTACATAACAAATCAATTCCGCACAAAATCATCCATGCATTACAGCAGATAGGGTCGTAGATGCGGTGATAGCTCACCGTCATAACCCGTACGTAATTCTCACATCATTGCTTCGAAGTATGAAGTGCTTCTTTGGGCTTCTGCGTTTAATCTCGCGTGCTTACACCTCTTCGTGCTGTGACCTGTTCTCATAGTTGCACCGTCGATGGAGGATAGTGATGTCAACTACAGTGTGATCGTCGGTCGTGACATCATGCTTCAGTGTGAGGTCAGCGGGGAACCGACGCCTTCCATATCGTGGCTGCACGATGGCATGGCCATCACCAATCCCAGGTAGAATTTTACATTAAAAAAAACATAAAGAAAATTACATAAAGAAAACAATAAAATTACATAAAATTACATTAAACAGCTTTTTGAAAGGTTCTCGTTAGTTTTTTCTCGATATATTTCTTCACGCTTTCAAAACTATCGAGAAAGTCCCAAAAAGCTGTTTAATGTTATTGTATGTAATTTGATTGTTTGGTTTTTTAGCTCGGCTGACGAAGTCAGATGCAGCTTGTAGAATCGCATGATTGTCTGTCCGTCCGTGTGTCCGTCCGTGCGTTCGTGCGTCCGTCAACAATTGGGCACAAATCTTAACCGCTCAACGTACGGTCTTGATATTTGGGACGTCAGGGGGATCGCGAAAAGGACTCGTGATGTCGAATTTGGGGGTCAAGGGTCAAAGGTTGAGATGTGTCAATGAAGGGGGAATATTTTCCCCTTAACTTAGGGTATAGGAGGAAATACGGAATTGCGGCACAAATCAACGGCTCGACCCACGCTCTTAATATTCGGTGTATAGTGTGATGGTGAGGAAACCCATCACCAGTGTGAAATTGGAGGTCACAGGTCAAAGGGTAAGGAGGGAAAGGTCAGATATCAGGCATTTTCTGAGGACATGGTCTAACGGACCCAGTGGAAAACATTTTTGTTTCAGCACTGACCTACCGTTTTTATCACTTTATTGAAAGGACCATGAAATCTACTTTCCGCTGACGTGCAAAGAGTAAGTGTCTGATAACCTTTTGATTCTGAAGAAGAGGGTTAAACCTGGATTTGTTGATTGTTAACAAAGGACTGAACTGCTTTTGCTATTAGAGCCCCCTCCACCCTCCCCTCCCCCACCACACCACCACGCTGCGCTCGACGCATATCCATATATACATTAATATTAGCAAATTAACCTAGGACCGTTGTCACAACAACTGATGTAATATTAAACGTATCAGTGATAGGAACGCTAACATATCATCAGCGAGTGAATATAATACCAATAGCATAATAATCAATATTATAATATCAATATTATATAATCAGGGGTAGAAATTAGTATTGAAAATGTCACAGGGCCAGCGGGCCTGTAGGTACAGGGATACACGACCCGTTCATTCCCTAGATACTGTTTATGCATGCGGGAGGGAGGCATCTTTCTAGGGCCGTCAGGTTTGCTCATATTTTAAAATGTCAGGGCCCGCAGCCTTAAATAGGCATCGGGCCCGCGGCGGCCTGGAAGATTTCTCGTCGTTCGACCCATTGAATCAATAAAATAGAAAAATCGATTATATATATTGACTCCTATATTCGTCATGCACTATGATAGATGATGGAGGAAGCGATGAGGAGCAGGTGCGGTTTGTTTGATGGCTCTCGATGTCATATGTCTCTGCAGGTACCAGCTGTTGCACTCTGGCTGGCTTCAGGTGAGGTTGGCCACGCCCGACGGACGCCGGTCAGAACTACCTATGCAGGGCAGAGAACGACGCTGGCTTCGCGCGTCCAAAGGCCATGCAACTCGTCCCGTGCCAAGGCTGCTGCGGCCTTACCTACTTATATTACCTACTACTCATTTACTACATTATCTAATTACTACTACTAATTAAGATTATGTAATTATAATTGTTTACTATAGTTACTTGTGTTAATGACTATAGCTAGATGGAGCAATAATTTAGGGCAGGAAATCATTTTGTATCGTTCTTCAGGCTAACGCTCCATTAGGAGTGTTCCCAACTTTGATATCATCAATGATTAATGATTAATGATTGATAATCCTAACCCTAATCCTAACCCTAACCTAAATGACATTAAACCACAAACTAATATATGATCATATATATATATATATGTTATTATGACCATTAATGACATTAAAGTTGGGAACACTCCTAATGGAGTATCACCCGTTCTTCATGAGATTCCATCGCTTGCTGTTTATTGTGGCATGGTTTTCAGCAGCCATTTGGCGATTACTTGTTAGTCCATTCATCATATCGGTCTGGTCATTCCTCATGGATATGTGTGGTAGTATTTAGCGCTTTTTATAGAATGACTTCAATGATGCATGCATGAGGCGCAGGATCTATGAGAAGTCATGCGCCATTTATCATATCTCTGTATTCCTGGGGTTGCAATGAAAGAGTGTACGGTTAACATAAACCTTAAATTGACTACGTCACGAATTTTCTATGGTAAAATTTGTAAAAATTTTGTTGCCATTTTTTTACATTAAAAGTAAGAACTAACGGGTCTAAACGTATTGTCAAATTCTTACCTGATAAGATAAAATTCTCAACTAGTTATCAACTAGATCTCAACTTGTTCAAACGATAACAACTCTCAACTAGTTAAAAATCCAAAAAACCTGGAGGATTTGACATTAGTGTTCCTGACATTAATTGCTTGCTATGGGCTATGTATGAGTCACGAGTGTATGTTCACATCGAACAATATAGTAAAATAAGAAATATAATGCAGCAATTTATAACCATAAAAAGTGAACAGAATTACTTATATTTTGTGAAAAAGTGGAAATATTTTTTTTATTTTTTACTATTTACGGTGACGTAATCACTTTAAATAAACAAACATCCGTAGGCCTATAGAAGAAGAAAAATAAGAATCGCACTTCTTTAGCAATGTTCATGCGGGTTGTATGAGGTGGATCTTGATCTATATATTAGCAGTGAGTTGTTAGAGTTTTGTGATTTTGTTCTCTGCAGTTCCGCCCAGCATAGTCACCGCGGAGAAACATTACACAGTCATAGCTGGACGACCCATCTCACTGCCATGCCAGGTAACTGGCTATCCGCCCCCAAAGATTGCTTGGAGGAAGGACAGCCGATCGTTCGACGAAAGCGACAACGAGGGAAGAGTTAGGATGATCCCATCTGGCGCCCTCTATATTGAGGCAGCAGAGGTAAGCTGTGTGATCATCTGGCACCCTCTATATTGAGGCAGCAGAGGGAAGCTGTGTGATCAAAGAAATTTTTAGAAACGATTCACATATAGATACAAAAAAGGAACATTGATGACAGTTCATATAACAGTCGACAGAACATCATGTTCATAACAGTCATGACAGAACAACATGACAGGACATAAATTTGTCATACAAGTACATTACTAATTTCACCGCATGATGTGTTCATGGTATTCTGTCGGTGCAGCTATGAGTATATAGCCACAGCAAGTTTGAATTTTGATATCAGCCATGTTTGTTCACGGCAGCCATGTTTTTCCGTGATATCTATCATTGCTCATAACAGCCATGTTTGATCTTGTTGTTTGTCTGTGTGTCATGCAGGCTGCAGACGATGGTAGATTCATCTGCGAAGCCATCAACAACGCCGGGCGGCAGTACAAAGATATCCGCCTCACAGTTCTTGGTAAGATTCCCATGTATTCCTTTCCATAATCTTTTTCCCCCTTTCCTTTTCCTATTCCACCCCTTATCTTTTTTCTTTTTCTATTTTTCTTTTTTTTTCTAATTTTCTCTCATTTCTATTTTCTTTTTTTACATGTTCTTCTTCTTTCTTCTGTTCTTCCTTTTTGTGCATTTCTTTTACAGCTGTTCTTTATTCTACCGCTTCCATATCTGACGAACATGTTAGCGGACTCTTCATGGATATAGTGTCGTTTTACATCGTTTGTCGTGATATGAAACAAACATTTTCCTAAGTCAATTAAGTCATACGACCATATATTCTGTTATCTTATCATACACTTGTTATCTTACATTTGTTTGATATCGGTTTAAGAGCTATTTCAAGACCTCATATATGTTACCCTGTATGTCCTGTACTGATGAAAATAAAAATTACTTTACTTTACTTTACTTTTACTTTATCTTCTTTCTTTTCAGTGCCGCCAACGTTCGTACGAAAGCCAGAGAATAAGGTCGTGACGGAGAAGGACTCTGCAATAATGCGATGTGCCGCCAGGGGAACACCTATCCCGACTCTCAAATGGATTCACAACAACACAGAGGTTGAAGGTATATGCGTTGCATTGCGTATGTGTGTTTATCATAGAGATCGATGCTAAACGAAATGGTTGCATTTATTTCATATAGCACTCATCGTTATACTTCAGAGTGTATGATTTATGATGATATTTGTTCGTTGACGATTTAGCGTGGCAATATTTAATATGCCATGGTAGTATACATTCTCATCTTTATCTAAATCACACAGCAATGTCTATTAACAAGATTGCTCGTGCTTACAGACCGTGTGTCAGTCATCTACCTGCTGCTAGTTTGTACCAGAAACAAAGTATTGGAAAGATATTAAGATCCAACAGTGTGAAATCTATAATAATAACATCACCGTAATTCACGATTATTAATGATTACTTAAAAACAATTAATAATTACATAATTATTTATTAATAATTACATAATTATTTATTAATAATTACATAATTATTTATTAATAATTACATGATTATTTATTAATAATTACATGATTATTTATTAATAATGTTGTTCTCGTCGTGTAGCGGCGTACAGTTCTGGGGGACAGAGTGAGCTGCAGTTCAGAAAGGTGCTGAAGGAGCATGCCGGTGTGTACACGTGTATAGCGAGCAGCACGGCAGGTGATGTCACCACTACTGCCTACCTGACTGTGAAGAGTAAGTATCGGCAAGCTATAGCGTTTCCTTGAGAGTTGTCTTTGTGGTTTTCGATCGGCGGTTGTAATCGAACGGCTTCTTTTTACAGAGAAGCGTTTAGTTGGTGTAAGCGTTTTCTGATACGATTAGAGTTAGGGTTATGGTTAGGTTTAATGGTTAGGGTTAGGGTTAAGGTTTGGGTTAGGGTTAAGGTTGAGTTTAGGGTTAGGGTTAGGGTTAAGGTTATGGTTAGGGCTATAGGAACTGCATTACCACAACATTCGACATTCACATGTGTTACCTGCTGACGTGTCATACAGCAACACTCACCTTTATTACCCCTGTTGCTACAGTTCCGCCACGAGTGCTCGTCTCTGGCACAGAGTCAGTTCGCTTCTCTGACCGCGCCGTACTGAACTGCACGGCCCGCGGCGACCCGCCCCCGACCGTGTTCTGGGTGAAGGATGGCCGGCCAGTGCCGCTGAACAACCGCGTTCAGCAGATGCGAGATGGCTCCCTGGTCATCTACGACATAGAGGTGAGTACGTGGAACTAGATGAATCACATAGCTGGTGTGGTGATTATATATTAGTTATATTATTTAAGTGTTATTTATTGTTATTTATATATCATCTATATTTAGATATTATTATGCTATCATGGTCGCCGCAGCTTGTAGACCATACAGCTTGCGCAATCTTCAAAATGGCGGCAAAGGCAAAAGGCCACGCGATAACATGGCATCGGTGTGACCTCTAAGTAACCTCTTAGTTAACGGTTACATCGGTTTCAGTTATTTTTATACCTTCATACTTGTACAAAGCACTACCAGTGTAGCTCCTTAATTCGCTTCTGCTACATGCAGGAACCCCGTTCCCTGTAGCCGGAGCGAAGGGGCTACACAGGTAAAGTTAACTCGTACCAGCCTGATAGTTTGAAGCGCTGTACGTGTTGGATATCTTGTGTAGATATGAATTCGTGACGTGACGTCGGAATTTTCCAGGGCACGGACTCTGGAGAGTATAAATGCGTGGCCACGAACGACGCCGGCATGGGCGAGGGAACTTCCATGCTTACAGTCAAAAGTACGTACGCATACATATCTGGTATTCTATAGCCACTATAGCCACTGTCACTGCCAGTCGTTGGCATTGCCTGTAGCAGTGACAACGATGGTTGTAGTGTAAGAGCTTAGGGCCAACGTTGGCGTATGGTTGGCATGCATGGTCACGGTTGGCAAGTGGTTGGCTGCATGACTTTGGGCCAACGTTGGCGTATGGTTGGCATGGTCACGGTTGGCAAGTGGTTGGCTGCATGACGTTGGGCCAACGTTGGCGTATGGTTGGCATGGTCACGGTTGGCAAGTGGTTGGCTGCATGACGTTGGGCCAACGTTGGC